GGGGGGGGGGCGGGGGGACGGTTTCGCTGGGCGCCTCTCCCAGTTTTCCTTTCTTTTCCCTCTGATCCCCGGCGGCTCCCGGGGGGTGGGACTCGGGAAAAGGGGGGTCCCCGGAACCCCGAGAGCCCCCCAAACTCTTGGGCGGTGTGAAGTGGTGGGAGGGGGTGCGGGGGGGTCTCCCACTGCTATCCAGTGCCATCGTGCCTCAGTTTCCCCAAGTCGCTGCTCGTTGCACCCCAAGGATGGGGGGGCTCAGGGGGATCCCAGGGGGGCTCAGGGGGGCCCCGGGGGTCTCGAGGAGGTCCCGAGGGGGTCGCAAGGGTCTCGGGGCGGGGGGATCCCTTACCTGGGCCCCGCCACCGCTGCCGCTGCCGCGCCCGGGCCCGGACGGGTCTGGGCTTGAACCAGGGGAGGAGCGGGGAGAGAAAATCCGGCCCCGGAATGGGATGGGATAAATGGGATGGGATGGGGTGGGATAAATGGGATAAATGGGATGGGATGGCATGGCATGGCATGGGATAAATGGGATAAATCTGATAAGTAGGATAAACGGGATGAGATGGGATAAATCTGATAGATGGAATGGGATGGTATGGCATAGGATGGGATAAATGGGACAAATGGAATGGGATAAATGGGATGGGATAAATAGGATAAATGGGATGGGATGGGATGGGATGGGATGGGGTGGGATGGGATGGGATAAACAGGATAAATGGAATGGGATAAATAGGATAAATGGGATGGGATAGGATAGGATGGGGGATGGGTAGATACATGGGTGGATGGATGGATGGATGGAGGGATGGAGGGATGGACGGGTACATGGAAGGACGGATGGAGGATTCATGAATACATGGACAATGGATGGAGGGATGGATGGATAGAGGAATGGATGGAAGGATGGATAGAGGAATGGATGGAAGGATGGATAGAGGAATGGATGGAGGAATGGATGAATGGATGGATGGATAGATACATGGATGGATGGATGGAGAATTCGTGGAAACATGGATGGATGGATGGATGAATGGATGAATGGATGCATGGAGGATTCATGGATATACACAGATGGATGGATGGGTGGGTGGGTGGATGCATGGGTAGGTGGAGGACTCATGGATACATGGATGGCTGGTGAGGTGAAAGCGGGAGGTCTGGGCTGGCTGCAGGGATGGAGCCTGGCACAGACACACAGGGACAGACAGACAGGGACAGAGGGACAGAGGGACATCACAGACCTCCTCCAGCCTCTGGTGGTGCTTCCTCAGCTGTCACTGGGGACACTGGGGGCACTGGGGACACTGGGGCCTGCTGGGGACACTGGGGGCACTGGAACCACTGGAAACACTAGGGACTGCTGGGGGAACTGGGACTACAGGGGGCACTGACCCACTGGGGGACTGGGAACACTGGGAACACTAGTGCTGGATGCACTGGGAACACCGGGAACACTGGCGTCTGCTGGGTCCACTGGTCCCACTGGGTTAGGGAGGTTATTGAGGGAGCTGGGGGTTACTGGGGCAACTGAGTTGGGGACTAGGTGCACTGGGGGTCATTGGGGAGACCCATGGGGATGCTAGGATGGGACTGGGAGGCACATGGAGGTACTGGGAGACTGAGGATTACTGGAGGGGCTGGGATACTGGGGGGACTGAGAGTTGCTGGGGAACCAAGGTTATGGGGGGGACTGGTGGTTACTTACTGGGAGAGCTGCGATGGGAACTGGGAGCTTGTGGGGGGAGTTTATGGTTAGACTGGGAGTTACTGGGAACCTGGAGGTCACTGGGGACTGGTTGCACTGGGGCTTTACTGGGAATACTGAGGGGTAGCTGGGGGCTGGGATGGGGACTGGGTGCACTGGGAATTACTGGGAGGGCTAGAGGTTACTGGGTGCACTGGGGGTTACTGGGAGGACTGGAGGTTACTGGGTGCACTGGGGGGCTACTGGAAGCCTGAGATAAGGCCTGTGCACACACATCCGAGCACATTGGCAGCACCAGAGCGCGCCGGGGCTCCGCTGGGCGCGGCTTTACTGGTGCTGCTGGGAGAGCACTGGGCGATACTGGTGTCACCCCCCCAATAGGCGCTCGATTGAAGCCGCCTGTCCCCTCCCGCTCCCCCTCTGGTGCTCGGCGCTCGGCTGGTCGAGCCTGCGGGTGCTTCCAGTGTCGCGTTGGCGGCGGGGGGGCGCGGGGGGGGCCGGGGGGGGGGGGGGGCAGCCATGACCAGCGGTGAGGGGATGGGGGTGGTTTGAGGGGGAATGGGGGGGCCTGGGGGGTCCCGGGGCCACTATGACCGACGGTGAGGGGATGGGAGGAATGGGGGCTCTGGAGTGATCCTGGGGCTGCCATGACCAACGGTGAGGGGATTGGGGGAGATCTGGGGGGGAACAGGGGCAGCCGTGACCAGCGCTGAGGGGATTGGGGGAGATCTGGGGGGGAACAGGGGCAGCCGTGACCAATGATGAGAGGATGGGGGGGGGGGTTGAGGGGTCTGGGGGTGAATGAGGGGATCTGGGGGGTCCTGGGGCAGCCATGACCAACGGTGAGGGGAATGGGGGGTCCTGAGGGGAACAGGGACGAAAACGGGCGGTTTGAGGGGATTTGGGAGGGTCTGGGGCGTCCTGAGGGGAGTGGAAGGTCTGGGAGGGCTCTGGGGTCACTATGACCAACGGTGGGAAACGGGGCGATCCAGAGGGTGTTTAAGGGGTCCGAAGGGGTAACGGGGGGCCCTGGGGGTGCCCCGGGCCCCACTGACCCCCCGTACCCGCAGTGTACTCCCTGGACGGGCTGCTGGTGTTCGGGCTGCTCCTGGTCTGCACGTGTGCCTACCTGAGGAAGGTGCCCCGGCTGCGCTCCTGGCTGCTGTCCGAGAGGAGGGGGCTCTGGGGGGTCTGCCACAAGGGTGAGGGGGGCAGTGGGGCTCTGAGGCATCTGCCACAAGGGTGAGGGGGCGTCTGGTGGTGGTGGAGGGCAGTGGGGGGCTGGGGGATCTTCCACAAGGGTGGGGGGGACTGGAGGGAGTGCTGGGAGCACTGCCAACACTGGCGTACAGGGTGGGGTCATGGGACCACTGGGGTGTGGGGTGGGGGTGCTGGGTTCTGGGTTGAGAATATTGGGAACAGTGGCGTCTGGGATGGGGACGGGATCCAGAGGGTCTCACCCCACTCCTGTACCCCCAGCCGCCGTGATCGGGACCCGCCTGCACGTGGCCGTGTCCGTGTCCTGCCTCCTCATGGCCTTCTACATCCTGGTGGGGAAGTGACCCCAGGGGGACCCTCCTGGGACCTGGCACCAACCCCAGAGACCCCCGGGGACCCCCCTGAGACCTGGCACTGACCCCAGAGACCCCCAGGGATCCACCTGAGACCCCAAGACTGACCCCAATGCTGTCGTACCAACCTGAGACCCTGAGACTGACCCCAGAGACCCCAGGATCGACCCTGAGACCCTAGGATGGACCAGAGCTCCCAGTCCTGATCCTAGTATCCCAGTACCAATTGTAGAGACCCCAGAATTGACCTGAGACCCCAGTACAGAGCCCAGGACCAACCAGAGCCCCCTGAACTGACCCTGGAAATCCCAGAGACCCCAGTACTGATCTGAGACCCCTGGTACTGACCCCAGAGCCCCCAGTATGGATCAGAGACCGCAGTGCTGACCTGAGACCCCTGGTCCCGACACCAGAGCTCCCAGTGCTGACCACGGTGCCCCAGCCCAGACCCTGCGGCTGGTGGTCCCGGGACCACCATGGTCCATGACCCTCCTCCATCCCCCAAGGGCAGCTCTGGGGGGTGCACTGGGGCACCTTGAAACCCTTGGAAAAGTATTTCCTGGGAATTCTCCGGAGCAGGGGGTGAGGAACCCCCCATAACCCCCCAGGGGTGGGAGGGTATCCAGCTGTGCCCCCTGAGCACCAAACCCTGTCCTGTGGGTCTATGAGGGGCTGGGGGTCCCACCGTCATCAGGGAGGTCTCCCTTTACCCCTGGAGTTGGGGCCCCTCGAGGGGGTCTCCCCTCTGTCCTGGGGGGGGTGACCCCCCCCGGTTGTAAATACCATGTGTAAATAAAGTGGGGTCTCCCCTGTGGGCAGTGCTGGCCTGGGGGTCATGTGGGGTCGGGGGGACCATCCCATGGGGTGTGGGGGGTCCCTGTGTGATAGGCGTCCTGTCTGGGGATCCTGTGGGTTCAGGGAGGGTACTGTGGGGTAGGTGTCCTGTCTGAGGGTCCCCTGGGATTTAGTGGGGGGGTCCTGTGGGGCTGCTGCCCAGCCTGGGGGTACTGTGAGGGGGGGGTTGTGGATTCTTTGGGTATGGGTTCTTAGCCTGGGGGTCCTGTGAGGTTTTGGGGGGCTCCCTGTGAGGTTTGGGGGGAGAAGGATCCTGTAGGGTTTTGAGGGGTGCTGTGGGGTTTCGGGGGGTCCCGTGGGGTTGTGTGGGGTGGTATGGGGTCCCATGGGGTATTGGGGTCACCCGTCCCGGCTACTCCCACCTGCGGGGTCGGGGGCGTTGCGGATCCTCCCGCCGCCAGGGGGCGCTCTGCGGCGGGGCGCGTCTCACCGTGCCCTTCCCATAGTGCACCGCGCGGCCGCGCCATATAAGGGGCCGCACCGGAAGCGGAGGGTGAGGAGTGGCGGCGGCGCGGGCGGGAGAGGAGCGGTAGCGTACGTGTGTGAGGGCATGTGTGTGTGAGGGCATGTGTGTGTGAGGGCATG